GGCTCCAGGGATGCAGCTTCTGCACGTCATCGCCCATGCAGAGGAGGGCATTTTAATGACTGTTTTGAGTCACCCATGCTTCTGCAAGCAAACCCTAAAATCGGTTGGGTCACTAAGCCTAACGTGGGTGGAATCACTTCTTTGTGAGCAAATGTCTGGAGAGCAGACATTTGCTCACATCTACCAGCATGCCTCCAGGAATGGGCAAAGAGTGAGTTCCAGGAGAGAGACCCTGTCAATAATAATAATAATAATAATAATAATAATAATAATAATAATAAATCTGTAGAATGAATAAATAATGGATCTTAACACTGGACTACTGCATGTACATGTATGTACACACACACACACTCGGGGCTGGGAATACATGCTCAAGTGTAGAATGCTTGCTTAGCATGCATGAGGCCCTAGGTTCAAACCATAGCACTACATAAAGTAGGTATGGCAGCGCAAACCTATAATACTAGCACTCAGAGGCAGGAGGATCAAGAATTCAGGGTCATCCTTGGCAGACACATTGGGAGTTCAAGGCCAGTTTGGGCTGCATGGAACCCTGGTTCAAAATAAGTAAATGCAATTAACCATTGGATTGCTAAAACTATTAGCAATAACAAGTCTTTATTTTTGGATTTTAAAGTCAAGTCTTACTCTTCAATCCAGGCTGTCTTTGGACTCACTGTGCGCCCAAGTGGATATGATGCCTCCTGGAGGGCCGGGATTACAGGCTTGCACTTCTATGCCTCATTTAATTAAAAAAAAAAAGTATCAGAATAATGATTTGGCTTCAATTATAAGTTGGTTACTATAATCAGCCAATTGCATTTCAGCCCTTACTGGACTTAATACTCTTTTGGATTCTGAGATTCAACCACAGTCACTGCTCAACCACTGGGAAGCGTGGGGAAAAAGAGAAGCAAGTGCTTCTTCATCTAGGAATCACGCACGGTCCCAGGCTAGCACTGAGTGATCAGGGCTTAGGATAGATTCAGCTGCCCTCCTCTCTCCCTGGGCCAGAATCCCGGTGTTTGGAGCAACCTGAACAGTTTCAGGCAATAGTCCATTAAGGCCTTGGGTGGTAGCAAGGCTGTCCATGAACATGTGTGTTCATGCCTGAGTGCACACTGGGATAATAGCATACAACAAAAAATTTTCTATGTGTACATGTATACACATGTCTCTATGTGGACTTGTGTGTGCACAGACAGATGCATGTGAAAGCCAGGGGTCTATGTCAGGTTGACTTGTTTAGTCAGTCCTTTCCCCCCCACTTTATTTTCTGAGACAGTGTCTGTCATTGAACCTGGGGTTTGCTGATTAGGCTAGAAATGCAAGACCCAGGAATCCTGCCTTTGCCTCTGCGTGCTGAGGTCACAGGCATGCTGCTGTGACCACCTGGAACAACTCCCTTTACAAACCAGGCTGGCCTCAAACTCACTGAGATCGGCCTGCCTCTGCCTCCCAAGTGCTGGGATTAAAGGCGTGCACTGCCTACCTAGATTATTATATTTAATCATAACTGATTTACTTAGCCATCTTTATGAATCATAGACAATTCAACAATCACTAAAATCGTGTTCTAGAAATTACTTCAGTGCTCTACACACCCGGTGAGGGTGGCCAGTTAACATGATAATGGGCATGCAAACGGAGACAACATTCCGATCCAGGGCAGGAAATGTTTTCATTGCTCTGAACAACAGTTTTGAAAAACTCTCATCAGCAAGGCTCTGAAATTTCAATGGCTTGGTGCTCTGGGTGGGGCTTAAATCCTGGAAGTGATCCAGAGAACAGCTGGATTTACTGGTCGGACTCTATTGACGACCATTCAGGGCATTCCTATGGGGAAATCACACATCACAAAGCAGGATCCTGCAGAGGCCCACAGGAGAGCACTAGTATCCAACATGGCTACTGCCTCTTCTGAAAGAAATTCTCAGCCATGCTTTCCTTGTCCTTAAACTCAATGTCCGGATAGTCATATGACCAGCCCTTGGGCATTTTGGTTTCAGGAGCCCTTTAAACCCTTAACAGTTTTTGAAGATTCCCAAAGTACTGTAATGAACATTTTATTATGAGAGAGTAAACCCAAGAGCAAGATAAATACTTACATTTTAATAATGAATTTGTTACATGGTAATAGAAACAACATTATTTTAATTCACGTGGTCATATTTCCCAAACAAAAATATGTGGGGAGTGATGACATTTTGTTTCACATTTTGCAAATCAACCTGATACCCAGCTAAATGGAAGGCAGCTGCTTCTATATTTGACCTGTGGGGACAGATAAGTGTGTACCATGCAGCCCCTAGCAAATTCCCCCATACATTCCTGGGCAACTAAATTAATAAAAGCTAGCTGGGTGGTGGTGGGACATGTTTTTAATTCCAGCACTTGGGAGGCAGAGGCAAGCAGCTCTCTGTGAGTTCAGGCTAACTACTCTGTGAGTTCGAGGTCTACAGAGCGAGTTCCAGGACTGGCTCTAAAAACAAAACAAAAGTCTTCGAAAAACAAAACAAAACAAAAAAATAAATAAAAAGATAAAACAAAACAAAAAAATGAAGCAGTTGGGTTTGGCAGGGTGGCTCAATGGATATCAGTGGATAAAGGTTCTTCTCTTACAGCCTGAAGTCTTGAGTTGCCTAAATTCCATCCCTGCAGCCCACAGCAACAGAATAAAACCCATTCCCAAGGGCTGCTCTCTAACCTCTGCACACACACCATGGCACACATGCCCCACACATCTAATAAAAAAAAAACAAATAGTAAAATAAGTAACTGAAGAGTTGAGTCAGCAGTTAAGAGCATTTAACCCAGGTTCTACCTCAGCACCCAGATGGGATCCTAGTCCTAGGGGATCCGTTGCCCTCTTCTGGCCTCTTCTGGCACTGCACACACGTGGTGCACAGACATACATGCAGGCAAACACTCACATATACAAAATACAAATAAAGGGAAAAAGAACACAAATAACACCTTAGTAGTATTTAAAATAATTATTGACCTTCTGAATTCCTTGTGCTCGAGAGCCCTGGGACCACATTCAGGAAACTACTTCCTCAGGGCATCATTAATGATAGCTGTCATTTTCCAGAACTCCAAACACAGCTTAATTTTGTTTGCTTATTCAGACAAATGTTTCTGTAGCCCAGGATAGCTTCAAATTCAAACTCCTGATCCTCCTACTTGTCCCTCCTGAGTGCTGAGATTACAAGCCTTTGCTGCCACCCCGAGCTCATTTACGTCTTTATTTTACTCTTTTCCCTAGTAAACCAGTGTCTCCAGACTCCTACTTCCTGTCCCTGACGGTTGGTTCTGGACTCCTTTGTGGCTTCCAGCGTCAGAGTTAAATCAGGCCAAAGCCTCTTGACCCTAGCTCTGCCTGGTCTGGTGCTCTGCTTGTTTGGGGAGGTTTTAAAATCAAGGGGGGGGGGGCGTCAACCTTGAGGAGTCTGTTTTCTCCTTTTACTATATATGTCCTAAAGATGGAGATATGAATTTAGGTTGTCAGGTTTGACAAACAAAATGCCTTTATCCACCAAGTCACCTCACAGGCTAGGCTATTTCCTGGCATTTAAAGACAGAATTTAAAACCCCGTAGTCCAGACTGGCCTGACTCCAGACCCTCCTAGCTCACAAGGGTGGGATTTCAGGCCAGTACCACCATGGCCTCGGCCTAGCTTCTTCATTCCCCATGCGGAATCTGGCAGATAGCTATTGATACGCCTCAGAGGGCCTCTGATATCCACCCTAACCTACCGCTGGTGCTACCACTACACTTAGTACTTAATGTGGTTTAAAAGGGAAACAAAATGGGCTGGATATGATGCAGTTGGTAGAGTGTTTGTCTTTCATGCCGAGGCCCTGGATTTGATCCCTGGCTCCCCCATTTTTTTCTGGGCGGGGGGCCGCTGGGAAGGAGGGAGAAGCCTGAATACTACATAAAAATTTATATGTTTTTTAAATAATTTAATGTGTTTCAACAAGTTGGTTTCATTGGTAAGGTGGGGGGTTTTATTTATCGTGTTTTTTGAAAGCATGCTAAAGTCCCAGCTTCCCACGGAGACCAGGGCAATCAGCCAGCCAAGGGTGAGAGTTCTTTGTGGGTGTGACTAAGGACCCATTCTTTCTAGGCAAAGCAGACAAGCTGCACGTGGGTGTTGCCCCACGCTATCTGCCCAGGCCAGGCTGGGGAGCAGAGCCACTCCCACGCAGGACAGGCTCCAGCCACCCTTTGTAGAGTCCCCCCACTTGTGGAATGCACACTAGCTTTATATCAAATCCACATGGTGTGCCGGAGCAGCACGAAGGGGCATGACCAGGCAGACAGCGAGCCCAGGCCCTGCCGGAACTGGGGAGGTTCGAGTGATCTAAAAGGTCATGCTGGTCCCCCTCCTCGTCTGGAGCCCCTGGGTGACAACCTCAGCCACAGGAAATTGTATCACCGGGGCGCCCTGAGTTCCTAGCCCTGACCTCTGGACTCTGAAACTAGCCCAACTAAGAAAGCAGAATTTCTGCCAAGACGTAGCCAGAACCCACGCACACAGATGTAGGGGCTGTAGCTGAACTCTGGGGCGGGGCGGGGCAGCACGATTCCCCAGTCCTTTCCAGTCTCTCAGCGCGCGCAGGCTACGACCCAATTCTGGTCATTGCGCAGCGGGGTACCGGGACCTGTCCCAGAAAGAAGGCTCGGGACAAAGGCGAGAGGCACACTGAACAGAGAAGGAAAACTCCACCCGAGGTCCCCAGGTCCAGCAAGGGCGCACGCGGAGATGGATGAATATAGGAAGCCGATGCCACCCTAGACCTCGCGTGCTCCTTGGGTGACAGCGACCGTCAATGGGGATCCTCTAGGCGCACAGATCCAGTAGAGGGCCCCGCGCCCGGGCAGCTTAGCTCTCGGGTCCCCGCGGGTGACGCCCAGGTCCCAAGTCTGTCTCTCTGGACTGGCGCCCCCAGCGTACCCTGGTATCGCTCCCCTCCCGGCCCTAACTCACATAGACCGACGTGATGTCCGAACGATCATAGAAGCTCAGCTCTCCGATCAGTTCCAGAGCGGGGGACACCACGTCGTCCCCAGCCTCCAGCTCTAGGTCCCCCTGCCCAGGGCCGAAGGGGAAGAGCTCTTGACGGCTCAGGCAGCCTCCCGGCCCCGCCAGCAATAACTGCAGCAGCAGCGCCCACGTCCACGCCGTCCGGCTCCAGCCGCTCGCGTCCAGCATGTTTCCCAACTGTAGTCCCGCAACCCCGGCGGCTCCAGCTCAAGCAGAGGAGGCGGAGATGTAACCCGACGCCCCTCGGCAGCCCCTCCTCACCTCCCGCCTCCCGGCGTCCACACCCCGGGAAATAAGGGAGGGGAGCCGAGGGGCTATCGCTAGGACCCGCCCGCCCTCCCCGTCCACCAATAGCTGTGAGTGGGAGGAAGAGGGGCTATACTGAGGTCCCCCAGCGCAGCAGACGGCCCTGGCGCAGCAGTGGGCGTTGGTTCCCTGCATTCCCAACCCAATCCGACGGTGGGCTCCCATCCAGAAAAAAAAGGGCCTCTGCAACACCATTCTGCAGTCAGGCTAATTCCTGGAGAGCGGACAACCAGGAAACAAATACTTGGAACCAGGGATAGGGCTCACCCAAGTGGGGAGACTGGGCGGGTGCTGGAATTTAGCAAAAGGCCCAACAAATGTGTGTGCCTTTGCGCATCCAATCATTCATTGAGCATTTTTTGAGTTCCTGATTCCTGGTTCCTTAAGTTATGGGATTCCGCAGGAAACAGGAACCCACACCTGCCAAACAAAGTCACTAGTGTGGGACACAATTCAAAGTCAGATTTGCTGGGGCCCCAAACAGTAAAACACATTGGCCAGAGAAAGCTTCGGGTGGCATGCTGGGAATCAAACCGGGTCTTCTGGAGGTAATTTCATCGGGGGGGTCCGGGGAGGTGACCAGTGGGAGCAGGCTGGGTCCCAGGGCCCTGACCACCCCCCTGCAGAGACTTGGGGGGGGGGGTGATTCAAATAAAGCTGAATAACAACAAATTCGGGAATCTGAGCTCCCCTAAGACTCAAAGAACGGAGGACAGTTCTTGACAAAGAGGCATAAACCATCTGTTGATCACTAATTTGACACGAGGTTAAATGAAAATGGGGGGGAGAGACCACTAGAACAACCTTAGAGGGAACTGGGGGTGACTGGTGACGTGGTTGAGAGGGGAATTAACCTAATAGACATTACAGTGAAAGAAAGAATGAGCCTAGAAGAAATGAAGTTGAATTCTACCTGAAGACTGAAAACCCAGGGCTTGTCTTTGAGAGCAAGGAAGAGGATGCGCGGGGGTAGGGGATATCCGACCCTTGCCTCAGAAGGGACAACAGGATGGCCCTGTTTCCTCCCCACAGATGAAAGTAAAGGCCTGGAACCTCCATTAGTTCTCTCAGTAAATAGAAACATACGTGTGACGTGACTGGTGGAGAATGTGAGCTTTGAACCAGCGAAGTCATGCGGAAAGAGGCAAACGGAATATGGCTCCTGAGCACAAAGTTATTGCTCTAGTGTGTGCCTTGGTGGGGAGGTGCTCTTTCATTTAAACTATTGGGTGGTCAACAGTAAGACACCAACGTTAGGAATATTTCCTAACGCGAGCTCCCTGACGATGCAAAAATTCCCAATCAAGCCAAATCAAAACAGGCCAAATTAAGAAATATCCAGGTTTAATGGGAGATCTGCGCTCTTGGGTGGCCCCGAGGGGGAAACCGGGAAGCGGAGGAGAAGTGTGACCCCAGGAGGAAGAAAGGGAGACCACGTGCTCTTCTTTTGGGGGGGGAATCACTTAAATACCCTGGGGAGGGGTCCTGACCCCACCCCCATGCGAGGGGCAGGGCCCTACACTCCCAACTTAACCAAGTTTACTAGACGCCCAGTATTCTGTGGCAATATTTCCTTTTGGGTTCACAAAAACAAGACCTTCTGCTGGTGTGCTAAACACCTTACCCAACTGACCTACCTCTCCGGTTCACACACACACACACACAAACACACACATACACACACTTCCTCCCCAGCATGGGGGTGAACCCGCAGGGCTTCACACATGCTAAGTAGGATAGGCAAACAGTCTGGCCAGGCCCTTACTTTATTTTGAGACAGAGTCTTGTTACATAGTCCAGGCTGGCCTTAGTTCGTGGCTACTAACCTCAGACTCCTGAGCACTGGAATTACAAGTAGCATCCACCACACCCAGCCGGCTATTAGTTTATTTGCAGTGCGGGGATGCAAACCTAGGGCTTTATACATGTCAAACCCCTTTTCCTGTGTTGTTTACACTGCACTTAAAACATTAACGCCTACATTAATTTGTATCCGCACTGCTATATTTTTATCTCACCCGCTAAAGAGGGATAGTGTTGTCTGATTGGCAGCATGTTGTCAGATTTATTGTGCAGCTCTCTGATCCCTTCCATACGCCCAGATGTACTTTCGAGCTCCCTACCATCTATGCATAGCCTAGCCGATGTCTGGGATCCTGTGCCTTAGCGTGGCCTGCTTCAGTCACAGCACTTCATACAGAGAGGCCTGGGTTCACCTGAGTACCCACGAACCCCTACATCACTGAGAGTCAGCGGAGGCCAAGTAACTGAGCTCACCAGCCTTTGCACGTTTTCCCTTCGGCCCCCATCTCAGGCGTCTCACACACACACACACACACACACACACACACACACACACACACACACACACGTTAGGGCTGTCCTGAAGCTGTACTCAGTGCCTGGAATGCGCTTATCCCTCTCACAGAGTCTCTCCCTTTTTGGTGCTCAGACAGCTGCTGAAACTCCCATTGGCCGGAGGAATTTCCCTCGGTGCCTGCAGGAGCAGAGCCTGCCTCCTCCCCCACCCTCCCACCCCCACCGCACAAGCGTGGCAAGATTGCAAAGCTTCTGTATCCCGCTCATTTGATTGGGATATTCGCAGAGACAATCAAGGAATTGTTATGAGGGTGAGAAAAAGGTCATCCCTGCAATCAGACGGGGCTAGTCATTGAGCACATAATCCAGTTAATTCCAATCTACCCTTATTATCTGAACGTGTTGTTTTCGCGAGGCTGATTAGCTCAGTAGCTCCTGAGAAGGCACCACAAGTCAGATACTGTGGCCACGAATCCATAATCCCTTTTATGAGAAACTGGCAATATCCTGGGGGGCGGGGGAGGGGGGGGAAGGTAAGATAATGGCCTAGCAAAAACACCAAGAGTGAGGGGAAACACTGCTTGTGGTTTTGTTTTTTGTTTTTTGTTTTGTTTTGTTTTGTTTTGTTTTTGCTTCTCCTTGGTGTTCTCTCTAGTATGGAGCCTAGTGCTTGTACAGTCAGGAGCCACATGGTGGATTTGGTGAGTCGCATTTGTGGGGAGGGGAGATAACTCACCCAGCCTCATACAGCTGGTGAAAGAGCAAGGGTTCAAACCTTGCTTTGTCTGGCCCCAAACTGATACACCATCTTGCCTTTCCACAGCTGCTGAGGTTTCTCCAACCTAAACAGAGCCCCCAGTCTCTCTCCACAGTAGACGCATTTTGGTCCGGTGTTTATAGCTAACAGCCACGCTCTATTTATGCATGTTTATGGTCCCTTACTTCATCAGCCTGTACTGTAAACTGGCTGTCACTATTTATAGCCCTGCACTCACTTCACGTCGCCCAGTCCCTGGGAGACCTGCTTCTGCTCCTGGGTCTCCCGCCAGGACACTGTGGGCTGTGTCCTTGCTCCTCTAGGAGTTATAGTCCCAGATATTTCTCATACTCTTCATCATGGAAACGTCACTTCATAAACTGTGCTTTGAGCATTTTCCAAAGATCTATAAAGGCCAGGTGTGGTGGGGCACTCCTGTCTTTCCAGCTCTTGGGAGGTAGAAATAGGGGATCAGGAGTTCAACGTCATCCCCAACAGAATAGTGTGTTCAATGCCAAAGCCTGGACTAAAACAGCAAAAGTGTTTATGATAGTGTGATCTTTTCTCTTGTCTCGTGTGATTTTTTTTTCTCTCTCTTTGGAGCAAAGATCCATGTTCTAGCGATAGGATCCTGTGTGTGCATGAAAAGCGTTAACTATTTAAGACCTCAATAGGCCAGATATGATGTCATAGACCTGTAATCCCAGCGTGTAGAAGGTAAAGACGGGACAGGAACCCAAGGTCATCCTTGACTACTTAGGAGGATTTGAAGCCAGCGTAGGCTACATGAAACCCTGTCTCAGTAAGCAAAACAAGGGGTTCAAGAGGTGGCTTAGAAGGTTAAAGGGTCTGCAAGCTTGAGCCCCCAAACCCGTATGGATGTCATTTGGGTGTGGTGGCCTGCCTAGACTTCTAGCCTCTGAAGAGGGAGACAGAGGTTCCCCAGAGTGAGCTGTGTGGGAAGACAAGCCAGATCAGTACGCTCTGGATTTGATTGAGAGACTCTGCCTTAATGAATAAGGTGAAAGACTAATTGAAAATGCTTCCTGATATTAATCTCAGATGTCCACATGTGTGTGATGCAAACATACACATGCACCCACACATATATTTTCCCATATACATATGCTCCTATACATATAAAACATATATACACATGCATGAAAATGGAAACAAGAAAAATATGAGACTTTAATACTTTTGTTTTGTTTTGTTTTTGAGGCAAGATCATAGTATATAGTTCTGACTGACCTGTCTGGTACTCATGTAGCCCAGTCTGGTCTCAAACCTAGAGCAACTGTCCTGCCTCAGCTTTCCAAGTACACACAGACATGTGCCACCACTGCAGGCATCAATGATGCTTTTAAGAACAGATGGATAACTTCAGCTGCACCAACTAAACCCATAATTCCATAATACACCCTTTGTTAAAAAATGTGGACCAGGGGTGCAGTTTCATGGTAGGGTATGCACTTAGCATACACAAGGGTCTTAGCTGATCTCCAACGCTGTTTCTTTTTAAAACTTAAGTTAAAAAATGAAGATGGGTGGGCATAGTGGACCATGCTTGTGATCCCAGCAGTAAGGAGGTGACAACTAGGGAGAAAGATCCTAATGTTTGCTCTTGCAATTTCTAAGCCAGTAAGAGACTATCTCAAAAAAAGAAAGAAAGAAAGAAAGAAAGAAAGAAAGAAAGAAAGAAAAAAAAAAAAGGTGGGAGCTGGAGAGATGAGCCATCAGTTAAGAGTCTCTATTGTTCTGTGCTCGATTGGCAACTGTCTGTTACTCTCCAGCAGACAGATATGATTCTATTCATGTCTAACTGTTGCTTGGGAGATCTCAGAGGACTAGAGACAGTATGCTGGCAAGTTAGAGTCA